CGGGAAAATGTATAAATACTAAAGCAACTAAGCCATGTGCATTCACAACGCATTTCATAATGAATCATAAGTAGCACTTCGTTGAATTCATATAACGAGAACGGATACACATTTGCACCGTTCCTGAATTTTAGTCTGAAGAAAAGTATATAAGTTGCAAATGTCGGATGCAAGTTATCAAAATAAATGAAACAAACAGACCTGACTAGTGATATCCATTGAAATAAGTTTGCGAAGATAATTCGTATAAGTAACTAATGGGTCAATTTCAAGGTGAAATGTTATACGAAAACGTAGACACAGTTTGGCGTATGTTAGTGACATCCATTTTAAATCTGGTACACACCCTTCAAAGGAACTTCTTGCGTATGTTTATTTACAACATCAGAGAAATACTAATTATAAAATATTCCTCCAGAAAATCAACTCTTTGCATTCTAGAAATTTTATGATGAATTAGTTAAGAAATTTCCCTCACATGTAAGTAGAGAAAAAGGACGGAAACTTTGTAATGGACTGAATTTTTTCAGTAGAAGTTTGAGATTTGAATCATTGTGTTGATAACTATACGGACGACCCATGCAACATCGTGATATAATATCGAAGGTAAGCGTCTGGAAACGACTGAAACCACAATATGCAAATAAGATTTGTGTTCAAGTTCTCAACTCAATCTTGGCTAAGGGAATGTTAGGGGACTCAATTTAAGAAGTAAAGACTCATAATTTCATATAGTTCAGTTCTTAAGAACAGAAAAGACACATACGGATGAAGCTCTAATGCTTTTGAATCGGTGATTTCTTCCTCAAGGTCTTTTACAAAACAGTTTACGGAATCACACATGACATGAAATAGCTGCAAAAAAGTATAAATATACGGAGTCCAAAAGCAAGTTTTTCAGCATAATTTACCAGTTCAAAGAATACTTGCTCATCGCTTTATTAAAAATTAATCAAAAAATCAAGAACCTTCCGGAGATTTTCATTTGAAACGGCTTTCGATGTCAAGCTTCTAATTCGTTTCCACCGTTCACCCCGTGCGGCAAATTCGTGGACTTCATAGACAGTGTCTGGATGAGAACTACTTGGATCCATCTGATATTTAAAAAAGACTTTGACAAGAATAAAGGCCGTTTATTTCAATGAAAACTTTAGTGAATAACCTAACACAAGAATGCTGTACAGTAAATGCAACTTACAATACGTGAATGAAATAAATGGAATTGTTTGAAGCATATTTCATAGATAATTTTCGGATCAGAGGTAACAACTGTTGGATGGGAACCTTGCATTATCCCATATGTACGGCCATACTTTCTGGTTAATTTACCAAGTTGCCAATGAGTAGAATATGATTTCATAATATCTAAACTTCCAAATAACCAATGTTGACTCGGAACTACTGGAAAACCGCAATCACGGATGATGTTCCATGCTTTCCGGTACCTAAAGTGATATTTTGTCCTTTTTTCACCATATTTCATTTGTACTACTCTTCCTAACTCCATGGATGCACTGAATTCATTTCCTTCTATCACGATAAATTACGGAAAGATCAACTTTGTATCCTTCGCTCATATGGTTTTCTTTGGCACCTGATGGTAAAAAGTTTCCTTTCCAAATTACTATGTATTGGAAGATTCGTATTCAGACAAACCAACCAAATAACAACTTTTCTTCTTAAGTGGACATACCACCTGCGTTATTCACAACACGAAAAGGTTTATACCTTCATTTCATCTCGTAGCCAATGTTCATTATGAAAAATCATCTTACAACTTCTATTGTCTTTTTGTAGCTTTACTCTTTCATATGGCTGAATAAGCAAATGAACAGATAAATAATAAAATAAGCCCATCATATTCCTGAAAGATCACCACTACCACTACCATCAAAAAAGCTATGAAGTAGTGGTTTCTAAAGAAGAGGGTTCCAGCAATCCGACCATTCATGCTGGGCTTCATTTTTATCAGTTGCCCTCGTCATTAATGTCACTTCAAGCTCTAACCTGTTGATCTGTATTCAGCCCAGGTGATTGGAAGCTGAAGAATGTTCACAACCAAAACAAAAGGAACTTCATTTTGAATTTGAAACAGATTTGAATTTGAAACAGACCTCAACAGTTCAATTTTTTAATTCCGTAAATTTACCTTTGAACCACTTTGGTAATTAGGTAGAAAGCAGCAAAAAGTAATCCAAAAATATAAAACAATGCCATTCGTGTCGCAGAAGATTAAGACAACAATAATCAACATGTATTAATGAATTTCATGAAAATAGAAAATTTGTCAGCTGGGCGGAACGAAATTGATTGGAGTAACTTTTTCTTTTGATGAAATATAACTGAAACTCCTGATACTGTAATACCTGCTTCGATATTCTCTCTCCCTTCCACCCGTTCTTTCTTGGTTAGAATACCCAGTCACCTTTCTCATCTATTTTTATTGCTTATGTTTGTTGCTCGTTGAAAATACACAGAACAGATGCAAACAGGTTATTTTAAATTAATTGGTTTTGAAGTACACAATTTCTGAGAAATTTTTTGACAACTTCCCATTGCCAAATTTCAGTTTTAGTCAAGCCATCTCCGCCGATAGTTTTTGAAATGCTAATTTATTCTTCATCACCATCCAACAGTGATGATTAGCGGCACCATCATTTGAACGGGGAGAAGCGCTAGAGCCAAACCTCTCCCATCTTTTAGTTCCTACAGTTTCATTAGCAAAATTCAAAGCAAAAGTTCACAGAGTGAAGTGATCGTTACCGTTTTGTATCAGCTGAATTTAAATACCACCAGCCACCGGAAAAACTGCCTCAGTTCTTCTTAAGAATAATACCGTAAGAAGCAAACAGTTATACAATGTTTTGTAAGACCTTTGAGGACAAAAATGTAGAACTGATAGCGAGTAAATACTTCATTTGCGTTTTTTATTATTACTAATATTACTCAGATAAATGCTGCAAACACTTTACTGGGAAGAATACAAATTTGATATTTACAAATCACAAAATAAAAGACAAAATGAGAAACTTGATGTCTGCTTTAATAATACCGAAAAGGTTTATTGTATTCTAATAAAGAAACACACTTAAAATTCCCACAGGAAAACAGTTCGCAATAAATGGAACGATGCAAAATACTGATCTCAAAGACGCACTACAGTGATATTACGATCAGGAAGACAATAACTTGTATAAAAACACAAAACCTACCAACAGTGCACTCTCCATAACTAATAGAATAAGATATCGGCGACTACGAATTCGTTCCTCCTCATATTTCTTCTGCAAAATTTTGTTTTTCTTTTGCTCTTCCAGAAACTTTCCGGAAATTAGTTGAAACTGAAAATCTTCACATGAAGCAAAAGAAAATTTAAGAACGTTATATTGGCATTTCGCAAATTAAAAACATTAGACTGTGCTCCATCTGTGTTAATGGTCATGCACAACAAGTGAAAGGAGCTAAAATATTTCTATCTAATCTGTTCAACAGTTAGGACTCAATGTAGCAGATGAATCAATTGCAAAACAAAAAAGAAAAAAATTGAACCAGAGGCTTCTAACAGAAAAAATACAAAAAATACCGAAATCCTTAAATTAGGATCCACTGAACTTTCATTTTCATTCTCAGCAATTTCACATACTGACTGTAGCAGGGCGTCAACTATGTAATTCCTAGTGAAACGAATTTCGGAGGAAATTACTTGACGACACATGGGACATTCAAAAATCTGTAAAAGACTGATTCAAATCGAAATGAAGTGGAAGTCGGAATTAACAGACATGTGGACAAATATATGGATAAATGTCATTATAAACGAAAAAGTATGTAAAGATATCCATAAAATAAGTATAAAAGCTGCATACTTAAGTAAAGGACTGCTCCCTCTTGCTACTCGAGTGCTAATTTAATAGATTTGTTTCTATTGATACATGAAAACGAAATGGAACAAAACCGCGACCTGTTCAGAATACGAATTTTCGACAATATTTTTGATACAGTTTTGACAAAACGAATGACCGCATTTAAGAATGAACGGTGCCGAAGCAAATACACAAAAACAAACAGGACAATGCAATGCCGACGAATCTACTGCAACACGCTCAGCATCATCAATCTTCGCCGTTCTCTAAAAGGCTATAATTAGTATTTAAAAATTTCTCAAAAAAATTCTGCAAGTCATGTAACCTTCATCATCCACTCTTTAAATTTGAAATTTCCTTCACGTATTGAAATGACCTCAGTTGAAGAAATACTGTTTCTCTTCTACTACACTTACTTGTATTCTAAATTTCGCATAATTATTTTAGCACAGTGAAACATCTCGCAAAATTTTTAACTCAGAGAATGAAAATATATAAACTTACATGACTTCCTGAATAATCTTGATCTAGCTGAGCAATAGCAGAACGTAAAGAAGCAAAAAATCGCTTCATTCACTTTCCGTTACAAAAAGTTAACTGCAAAATAAAATAAGCTAAACACAAGTTAACAAAATTTCACTTATACACGCCTCAAATGCTGCTTATCGTTTCATGACGAAGAGTAAAAAAATAAAATTTCGAAATATTGAATTTCTTGAATATTTAAAATAAAGAAGCAAAAAATACATGCAAGACAAGTGAATAAAAAATAATAAAATCCTTTCAAGCAATTTTATCCCACGAACCACCGAAAATAAAACTTGATGCTTTTATTCCTATGACTTCCAATCTTAAAGAAATGGACTAAGTAAAAGAAACTAAGAACCGAACAAAACAAGCATATAATAAGAAAAGCCTTTAAAATTTTAAAGGCGCAACAGCAGAATACACAAGGGGAGAACATCCATGATATAAGTTATTTATAACATTATTTACAACTCAATTATCTTAGAAGTTAGAAACTAGGAATGACAAACACTTGAAAAGCAAAGTGAACGAACTCTTTAACATAAGTAATAATAAGATTAATAAAAACTCTGTCATCTTATATGACCGAAACTCCCGGGTGAATAAAAATTACCGACACGATTCGTGTAATGCATTCTTCGGACATCGAAGGTCGAACATCAAAGGGGGTAAATAGTCTTTCATTATCCTCCTAAAAAGCGTAAATTCCTACGTTACATTAACTGAAAAAGAGAAATACTCAACATTTAGTCCTAAATATTTTAATGGTCTGATAACTGCAAGCAGCGGCATGAGTCACTGACTTAATCCTTCCAGCTGCATTAGCGATCTGTATCTGATAACGTAGTTTGTATCTAATTTGGCTTGGATAGTTACATTTTACATAAAAAGGGACAAAAATAAAAATAAGCTTACTTGCATACACGACATTTTATATCAAATACTCCAGAAAATTTCGCAAATAGGTTTAGGACATATGAAAGTGTGTGTGCATTTCGAATATCAATACAAGGCATTATTGTTTGCATCAAATGTATATTTGCTTGAACACTCATCTTTCGATATACTAAATATCGACTTTCCTTATGAATATCAACCTAAAAGATACTTAAAAGCTTCTTACAAATCCAGAAAAAGTTTATGGACAAACCAAGATTCAAATTCAACTAAATAATACCCCTGAAAATATAGCCATACTCTTTTTTACCTTTTGAGAAATAAGACTAACTTCTTCTGAGAATCGAAAAAAATATCTTGCTAAACAGAAAAAAGAAATCCGAAAAAAAAAAGGCAAACTTGAGCAGAGCCAATATCTAAATAAGACCATTCTTCATGAGGAGCAATCATCTGCACAAATTCTGGTAGTCCACTGTTGACAACCATAAGCATTTTGAGTAAACAGACATACTGCTTATCTATTACTTGTCCAAATTTGAACTGTAAAAAGAAAAATAAAATAACATTTTACTAGCATGATTTCTAGCTCAGCAAGTGATTTTATAGATTCGTTAATAACATGAATTCTACAAAATCAAAAAATTATCTTTTCAATAAAAAAGCGACTCCTAAACATATAATTATAATATCAGTTATAAACAGTAGATACTTTGAAACAATACACATAAACTTTAAAACTACTTTTCAATAAATAATGATACAACACATTAACGTCCCTTACTTCAACAAGAGCTGATAGAGTACTTTTTTCCAGATACCGTCCAACAAGACCAATTTTTTTAATATTTGGATCCTTTAATACAACTGTTAGTGTTTGTTCAAAAATATTTTGCGGCGATGAACTTAATCCATAGTTTGAATACGATATTGGTCGGTCTGTCATTATTGATCGCCGTCGATTACCCACCACAGTGCGCAGAAATTCTGCATACATTTGCAATAACTGCTAAAATGTAAAAGTTTTAATATGTAGAGAAAAATATGCATATGACAACAACAGGAATATAAGAAAGAAATAAAAACATTATTTGTTTCCATCCATGTCGATGCTTCCAACGCTTTATCGTACAATTCATTGGTATGTGGGTCGATCTGTCCATCATGCAGAAATCGACTTAAGCGTTCCATCTGCACCGTCATAGGTGTTGAGACTGACAGCTGTTTAGCGTGTGATTCCAAGTTACTATAATAAGGAAGGGAAAAAAATATCATTGTTAGCAGAAAAAGCACGATCAAGATATCAATTCATCGGAAAATTTTTATTAAAATTATGCAATCAAATTCGTTATTTTGACCAAGGCAAAGACTGAGCAAAGACTTATTAACAAGATATTTACCACCTAGATATTGATAAATAAAACTTAAACCTATGATCTTAAAAAAAAAAAAAAAACACTGATATAACTGTCGTAGCATACTTTAATTCAACATTCCTTTATTTCGTATATATTATATAAGATATTTAAGCAATTTTGCATTATTTGAAGATATTATAAGGAAAATAAAAATTTGTTTGAAGTTACGGTAAAAACGAAATTATACCTAATTATATTTATAATTATGTCAGATACAAATAATAGTGCTACGTAACAAATATGACCGATAATTGAGGGTCTTACGCATGTTTTACGGCATATAAACCACACACTACACCAATGTTTTCATAGAGCTATATAAAAGAAAGTGAGTAGCAAAAAAAAGAATAACCGGATATTATGAAAGCTATTTCTTGTCAAGTTGGGCTTCAAGTTTCAAAAGTTAGTATTCCTTTCGGTAAATCCGATCTAAGAAATATACTACAATGCAAACTATCAACAGTAACTAGAGGTATAACTCAATGAATGATCCTGGGGTCAACATTAAATAGCAAAAACTCGTGAATTGTGACCAATATAACAGACGGGTAAAGCAGTCATGACTGTTTAACAATTTAACAACAAACACAATTAAATATCTTGTAGATATTGCAGCATTAACCTGCCACTTGCCATCAAGACATTAAGTTGCACCAAAGAGTTTCTGGCCCAGCGGTATGTTTCGATTTAAAAGTTTAACTTGATGAAGAACAGTTTCTAAAGATAGCGTAAAAACCTCACTCATAAATCTGATTGATAAAATCAAGTCTCTCTTCTAACGTCTTATCACCATCAACTGGATCACTTTCCCAACTATTTTCCATCACTCGGCGATGCACAGATATAACTTCGTTCCGAAGTAATCGCAACGCATTTAGGCCTGAAAGTCTATACTGCAAATTCAAACTAATTTAGATTTAAACTAATCTATCTTCAAACAATTTTCTAACTCTTTATTTAGTCAATCCTTCATATTTTCTCATTCCTTTGTGGAGTTTCCGTGCAATAAAGATCTCTACAAAGAGTTTTTCTAGTTTTCCGTCCAGAACCGCAAGTTAGATGCTTCGCGATGATCATATATTTTCTCAATAACTGTATCTCGATTCTTCAATAAATTTTTTATACCTATCTCGATGATTTAAAATAAAAAGAAGGAAAAAAAAAGCGAAGACTTACAATGATCTAAATGAGTTGTCATAGACTGAAACTGTTGACTGGAGAGATTACTTTGCATTTCAGTATCTAAAGAATAACTTTAGACGTAAACCATAACTTAACCAGCCACGACACTGACATCCTAATCATAAAACTGGACACACAAAATTGTTAGGGAATAATTTAAAGAGAAAGCGGAAATACAAACGAACAAAGATATCAGTGTTTCAAAAATAGCTGCTTTAAGTCCATGTCATAACTGTAATCCGCAAACTATAATCTTTCATTTTTATCAAAATTATCAACTCTAATTACTCCTAGTGTTTGAATTATCTCCACTTTTATTTCCATTTTGCAGTGTTGCAGAGTGGAAATCTGGATTATCATTAAGACCAGTTCTATTCAAAAGCAAAATTTACTTAAGATACCCACACAGATAATCATGTCAACTTACGCATGCAATAAAAACAACGAAATTGAATTTAACGCGTCCCCAGTCAGCGCGTTAAATATAGTGCCAGTTTAGATTGGTATTGCGAACTCTGTTCTGTTTTGGGTATCGGTTGATGTCAGTGTTCCGATCTGGTCGGTTCCTAGATTGCGCCTTTCCTGCTAGCATCATTCCAGCTAACCATGACATTGCAAGAGATGAGCAGTCATTCCTGCGACCGATACTCAACATTCAGCTTTTTTCCTATTTTATCGAATCAAAATCATTGTTGATTCACTTGGTTTCGCTGAAATAGTGCGGTAGATTCATTGCAGATGCTACTGTTCCATCCAGTTTTGCAGTGAACTTCATCAGAGCAACTGTTCTTGTTTTTTAGCTTCTTGTTGCACGCTTCACAGTGCTTCATTGCTTTTAAATCGTTTTTCGATTGGAATTTGTTCTTACCGGCAATACAACTGCTATTTCATGAGATCTATATTTACCCTGTTGGGGTTAATACATCAAATCTAATTTTTTCATCGTCTTTGGTAGATATAATCTCACTTCAGGAAGTTGAAATTAGGGTAAAAAAGTGGAAACCTTGTTCTGGGAAAGGACAAATCCTGCTCCAACCTTTCTTTACCATCATCTCTTTTGTCTTTGTCTTTTTTTTTCAAAACAATAGGGGAGCTGAAATAAAAAATGCATCCTGTCTTCTGTTTTGTGTTTTATTACTGATGACACATTTCTTGCCCTCCCTCGTCCGTCACTTCTCTGTGATTTCAATAACTTTTCAGTATTCGTAGTCCTTCCTTGTGTGTGCTAGTGATTTCCCTGAATGATCATGAAAATTACTTTCCAGAATGGTCTGAGTTAGGAGTCTGAGCGGTAGACTGTCATTCACTATCGAACTGATATTTTCACTGTTTATGGTTTTTATTAATGTGTTAAGGCATAAGTATAAAATTCATCGTAGATTCTCATAAGTATTCGCAAGAGTAACCTTTTGAAACTGTAAATGGTCTCACAATTTATTGACGGTAAAACTTCCCTACAGCTCACTGAATTTCTAGTTCCTCAGTCAACCCAGCAACTTCTTGAATACGTTGTTCGAACAGCTGCTTAACTTTAGGGTCCAATGTAAGCATTTGTATGAAGGATAGGAAGCATTACAAGTTTGGAATTAAAAATTGGTGCAAAAGAAAACTGTAGCAAAATATGAGCAGCTTTAAAATCTATTATTGTACCGCGGTGCGCAAAATTCCAAATTAATTTTTAGACGTAATTCCCAAAGCGAAAAAGAAGTTTGAGGGATTGTACAACGTCCCTTACGTTAGGTTAACTGAAATTCTGAGCATAGTACACGCAAATTTGTCAAATCAATCTATTGTTATGGATTCAAGAAACATGGCGCCGGTAATCGAGACAGCACATTTTGTGTAAATTCTTCAGCGAAGGAAAATTCAAGACTATAATATGTAATAAGAGTTTTTAATACAGGTAACTTTGCTCTGGATCCCTAATTTCTATTCATGTGCTTCAAAATGTAGTTTTACGATCTGAGTAAAGCGGTTATTTGGTTCATGATCGTCAGACATTTAAATTGATATGGTGTTTAAAAAGGAGATTAGTAAACTGCATAATCAGGGTGAATAATTAAGAAAACTGAGTTTAAATTTTATTTCTAAGGAAGCTGGGTAACAGAAATGAACTGGATAAAGTGGAGATGATGAGTGTGCTAATGTAAATAAAAGATTGCATTTTTCGTTTAAGTGCCGTAACATTCTAATTTTCTCTTTCCATTTCAGATTTCTTAAGACTCAGTCGTTGCGTTTGATTTGGAAGCTGACTTTACTTCGGCTGATTATTTTGTATTATTACATATTTTAATTTAAACGTCGATTTTGAGAGACGGAAAAAAGTTGAGTAGAGCGGGATTGGAGATAGTTTATCCATTGTTTTTCGTATATGTAATCGTTTGGCATTTCTATTCAATAAGTAGTTGGTATCACATCTAAATGCTTATAGGATAACAAATAAATAACTTATCTCATCAAAATGAGTAAAGGTTGAGTTCCTGAATTTTTCTAGATTTTTCAATTTTCATCACTTATTAAGATGTGATGTATTATTCCATCATGCACAAGTGCCATTTATGTTATTAGCTACAAAATACATGACTGAACAGTCACCCACTTGAATCATTTCGCATTTACATTATTATTAAATGTAACGTTTTCGCGTTTGGGATGAGTTTTATCGACTGTATTTAAAACCGCTGCATTGAAAATTTTGAAGCCTTGCTAAATATGCGTTTTTGCGGAGACTTAATTCTTGATGCAGCAGGAAAACAAAAGTTGGATGATAGAATACCTGAATTAGTCCAGTTGATATTATACTTGCAGGTACTGCTTATGAAGTTTCAAAAATTGCATTTCTTATAAAGCTGTGGCAAAGTAAAAAGTCCTACGAGATTTATTAAAATTTACATACTTCTAAGCTTACTTGTGACATTATTTTTTTCCTAGAGTAAAACTGAATGACAATAATCACGTAATTTTCTTATAATGTTAATTTTTATAAAGTTTAACTAATTACATTTTCCATAGAGATTTATATCCTTTCAGGGCAGGAAAAAGCAATGCACCAAAGTTCCAAATATTAGAATTTGGGAGCGGTGTATCGACCAAACGATTGGTATTCTGGATGAAGTTGTTGGTGTGAAGGTGTGTTTTTAATAAACTAAGAACTAGGTTCGAATTAGGTGCTTCGCATTTTTATCTTAGGACACATAAATTATATTTCGTTTTGGTAGATTACAATTCTATTTTGTAGTTCATATTTCACGAATTTATTCCAGGTATGTAAAGCAAAAACTTCTGAAGGATACCAGTTGTATGTAAAGAATGCCTTGAAAATTCAACATGAGACTGTTGATGAGAACCGCTATTACTCAGAAGAGGTATCTATATTACGGTTGTTGTCATAAGTGTTTTATGAATTTTATGATTTTTCTTGAGTGTTTTAAATTCTCATTAAAAATTCACATATATCATCATAGGATAAAGCAAAGTATGGGCTGCTAATTGCGATCCTGATGTTCATTTATATGATGCATCGTTCTGGTTCTCTTAATTATGCAGTTTCCGAAAGTTCAATAAAAAATTTCTTGGTAAATTTGCCCTTAT